AAAGCTAACAAAAACCTCTTTCTCAAATCTCTTCTATTATCTTTAATCACTGCGTTAATGTATTTGGAAAAACCAGGTTCAATTGTTCTTTGGATTTCACTTAAAATTATGCGGGTCACTCAAGTATAGTATAACAAAGGAACTAATTTATGCTTAGCTTACATTTTGTTTAATACAGGTAATCCAAAAATTTAAATATTTTCCTTCTTCGAAATGTTTGTTGTGTATTATCCTACTTATCTGAATTATTTTAATGTTTTGAATTTTAAAATATTTTAAACAACAAATATTTTTCTCGTTTTTACATATCATAACAATATATATATCTCTTCTTCTTCTTTGTCAACCATTTTCCATCCACTCCTGAATGTAGGTCTCTCCCAATTGCTTCCATCTTTCTCTATCTTGCGCCAATCTAATCCACTGTTTGCCTGCCACCGCTCTTATGTCATCTACCCATCTTTTTTGAGGTCTTCCCATGCTTCTTGTTGTCGTCCTCGGTCTCCATTCTAGAATTCTCCGTGTCCACCTGTTGTCATTATATCGGGCTACGTGACCTGCCCAGCGCCATTTCATTTTTGTAATTTCTTCCACAATATCCCTAATCTTCGTTCTACGTCGTATCTCGGTGTTTCTAATCTTGTCTCTTAGTGATATTCCAAGCATGATTCGTTCCATTGCTCTTTGCGTTGTTTCTAATTTTTTGGCAGATTTTTTGGTAAGTGCTACTGTCTCCAAGCCGTAGGTACAAACAGGTAGTATGCATGTATTATACACTTTTTTCTTTAAGTTTATAGGAATGGAGGTATTTTTCAAGATATGTGCTAGTTTGCCGAAAGCGCCCCAAGCCAGTTGTGTTCTTCTTTTAATTTCAGCATCTTGATTTGGTTTTCCTAGTTTGATAACATGACCTAGATATACATAATGTTCCACATTTTCTATGGTATGATTTTGTATTGTTATATTTGTCTGGTCTCGGCTCAGTATTTTTGTTTTGCTGTAATTCATTTTTAAGCCTACCGCTCCTGAAACTGCATTTAATTGTTGTAACATATCATTTAGTTCTTGGATATTATCGGCTATTAAAACTATGTCATCTGCGAATCTCAAATGGTTTAAGTATGATCCGTCGACGTTGATACCCTTATTGTTCCATTCCAGTTTCTTAAAAATATCTTCTAGAGCAAGAGTAAATAGTTTGGGAGAGATGGTGTCTCCTTGTCTTACTCCCCGTTGTAGTCTTATGGGATTAGTTTTTGTGCTTTCGTCCAGTTTTATATGCATTGTGGCATTTTCATATATGTTTTTAATTATGTTAATGTATCTTGAATCTATGCGTGCATTTTCTAGAGATTCAAGCACTGCCCATAATTCGATGGAATCGAATGCTTTGTGGAAATCGACGAACGCCATATGAATTGGAACATTATACTCGGTGCATTTTTCTATCAGTGTTCTTACGGTGTGCAAGTGGTCTATGGTATTAAAATGTTTTCTGAATCCAGCCTGCTCGATAGGTTGATAGAAATCGAGCTTATGTGTTAGGCGGTTGGTTATGATTTTAGTAAGTAATTTATACAGATGTGATAGCAAGGATATTGGTCGGTAATTCTCGATGTTTGCTCTGTTTCCTTTCTTGAATAATAAAATGACCTCAGAGTTGTACCATTCTTGAGGAATCTTTCCTTCATCAATTACTTTATTAAATAAAACATTTAATACCTGTTCCATTTTTCTGCCACCAATTTTCAACATTTCAACTGTAATCTTATCCTCTCCCGGACATTTATTCGTTTTAAGTTGATTTAGGGCCATTCTTATTTCATAGTCGGTTATGTCCGGTATTTCTTCTGAGCCGGTGTTAATTATTGTTCGTTGAGTACGTCGTTGTTGTGGTTGTGTATTTACCGAGTATAGTTTAGTGTAGAATTTTTCAATGGCCTCGCTTATCTCCTTTCTGTCTCTGACGGTGACGTTTTTCTCATTTTTTATTTCTATGATTTTTGTTGTGCCGCTTGAGTTTTTTGCTTTGAGTACTTTCATGTTGCAGTTATCTTGTATTATATTTTTTATTAGATTGTTATTATAGTTTCTATGATCGTTCCTGATTTCTTTCTTTACATTTTTGTTTAAACTTTTAAAGCTGTCCGAAGTTCGATCTGTTCTGTTCGATATATATATATATATATATATATATATATATATATATATATATATATATATATATATATATATATATATATATATGTGTTGTGTGTGTGTGTGTGTAGATAAGGAAAAATTATTAGCACACTCAGAACGTGAATACAAAGGAAACTAGATTTATAACCTTTTATTTATTTTCCGTTGCAAGTTTTGTAAATATTTTTCTTTATCTATATCTTAGCTAGACACGGTTATCCTCAAAGAACAGAATTGGTAGTTTATAAGTTAATTGGTAATTTTCTTACTGCTCTTGTATGACTGAGTGTTACTGACTGTGTTTATTTGACACAAGCTTTTCTTATTCCTCGTCTATTTTTGCTTCTTGATTTATTCTAATAGTGAATCAAATTTATTTTTTAAAGTTTTCCCAACTGCGCGACATTTACTTATCTGTTATTCGTTATTGATGCTCCTATTAATGTGATCACTAATCATTAGACTAATATTTACTTTAACTCCCATTTACCAAATAATACTAACACCTTATACTCTGATTTATAACAACAACAAAGATAAAAAATTCGAAAAGGAAGTATTTGTAAGAATAAACAAAATTCTTACTTATTAGGAGGACATATGCATGTGCTTTACAATTGTAACGCTGCCTTGGATTGATCTGCATTACTCACAATGACTCTTTTGGTATCTATCTTTAAACTTCTTCTACGCATCTTCCTCACCCACAAATCAGACTGGTACACTGGCAAGATGGTGCTAGTATACAGGAGTATACTAACTCTGTGTTAGCCTTAATTTGTTGCTCTTTACTTACAAAGTTGCTAGTAACAACACCGTTCTCCTGGAGTTCTTGCTTTAACGTTTTGCCTCTCATTCTATGCTTCACTCGTCGTTACCGTTTACGATTTACTTTTCATAATCTTTAGTTTACAGGATCGCCATGCGTTGTCAAAGATACTGATATGTGTTGTGGTCCTTAGGTTCTTAGTTTTGCAAGTGGTTTGACAATAAAATACAGTGGTTTCACCAAGTATTATATTAACTGATTTATAGTTATAAACACAATAATTGATTCATTGTCTTTTTTGTACTTAATATTTGTATATAACTGTTTATCAAAATAACCGTGTCTTTTAGAATACAATCGGTTCGCTAAACGGCTGTGTTTGCGTTACTCGACTACTTATTTACTTGTGAAGGTAAATGCCAAATGAATATTAACTTCTCGGTTCAACAGAGTTGAACATTACACAGTAATTACATTACATTACAGAGTAATTAATCTCAATCTATGACCCTTAACACCCTTTACCATGGCATGTAAAAGACAAATTAATAATATCTTATATAATAATGATATTATTATATTCAGAAACTCAATAATATAGTAATATATTATTGTGATATTTCAAGTCTTGGTGCGCCAAGCAATTAATTGGCTAATTAATTATTTAATTAATTAAAATTATTTAAATGATATGATTATGACTCTATCACACTTTTTAATTCTCTTATCTCAGGGTTAAGTTCGTGCTTTAATATCTATGCTATTACATGTGAAAGGTAAGGTCCAAAGAATACCGGAATAATAAAAAACACATATGATATAACACTATATATTGAAATAAAAATAATGAAATAATTCACACTTAAATGTTTTCAATAAACAAAATCTCATATAATGATTCTCAAAATTTTGTTCTACGTACGTGAACCTTCAAAATTATTGGTACAAACAATATTAATTGAAATCTCAAAATCCCAAATTATTCTAAATCTCCTATTCAAAATATTTATATCCATTCTAAATTAAGTGTAAAAATTGTCTTATCAATAAAAGAAAAACTGCAGAAAACAAAAATATCTCTCTCTGATGATGAGTGGTCCAAATCCTTGTTCCTTGTAGACTATCTTATCTACTCTCAGGCGCTCCCTAGGTAATCAGCAATCTTACAACAAATTATGGCAAGTTTATCGTCCTTAATGATCTCCTTCAAATGCACGAATCGTTCAAATTATGCTAGCTTCTTCTTCTCTCAATAAACTGAATCTCTCGTTGGCCTGAGTTAAAAATGACTCTTGGAATATCTTTTCTTTACGATAAACTGAATCTCTCGTTGGCCTGAACAGTGACTCTTGGAATATAAGTAGAAAATATAACTTACAATCTTTTACTGGATCAGCTTCTGTCAGATACACTAACTACACGAAAACTCACAAACTTTCACTGCTACTGCTTCCTACCTCTGGGAAACTACCCGAGAACAACGGACGTTCGCCTTGCACCCTTGGAAACCAACTGATTATCTTTTCTCTCTCAAAATTCTAGCTAAACTTTCATTCCTACATACCTATCCCACCTTTTTTAATCTCCGCCAATCAAAGCTCGTCACAATTCTCCCATTTTTTCATTTCGATAACAAACAAATTTTTACCTATTATTATAAAATTCCCTAAAACTTATTTACAAATAATATTTTTCTACAATTCTTAAAAACTAACAAAAACCTCTTTCTAAAATATATTCTATTGTCCTTAATCACTGCATTAATGTATTTGGAAAACCCGGTTCAATTGTCTTTGGATTTCACTTAAAATTATGCGGGTCACTCAAGTATATTATAACAAAGAAAATAATTTATGCATAGCTTACATTTTGTTTAATACAGGTAATCCAAAAATTTAAAGACTTTCCTTCTTCGAAATGTTTGTTGGTTATTATCCTACTTATCTAAATTATTTTAATGTTTTTGAACTTTGAAATATTTTAAACAAACCAATATTTTTCTCGATTTTACATATCATAACAATATATAAAACTAGAAAAACTGCTGTCTTTATTTACATAAATTACTTTCATAATGTATAAGATATTGTGGATAATAGCTATTATCATCATATTTGACATATACTAGTCCGTTTTCTTTTATACTTGTATCACATCCGTCGAGTGGTATCTTCATCTCTGATGTTCCCAGGCAACATTTGGACACAATGACTAACGCCAGAATCATCCATTTGTTGTAAGTTGGGTCGCCGTAGTGCGTGCAGTAATTGGCACAGGGTGAAAAATTAACACCTTGCCCGAATAAATGCCCTGTGGAACTACCTAAAAGCAGAAGTAGATCATAACTATTATTATTAGTTTATAAGATGACAGAATGTTTTTATTGTTAATCTTTTTTTTTTAATATACTCGTATAGCTTAATTTTACCTAAAGTAATATTTTTTAAATTAATCCCACAATCCGTCTACATTGACAATAACTGTTTCTAATGACTATCAGTTTACTTCATTTATAAATTAGGTAAACCTTTTAAAATTACTTGTAGGGAATATTTCAGTGAGCACGCACCTTCTAGAAGTCAAAAATAAGATTGGTCTTAACCTAAAAAAAATTTAACAGCCTACCATTTAGGAGTGTTAAGATTACAGAAATTTATTACCTAATAGAAGAAACAAATCCTCAGAAAAGTCCTGGTTGTGATCTGATAACCGGTAAAACTACACAAGGGCTACCTGCTATATCCGTAAACGTACTCCAGCAAATATTCAACGCATCATTAAGATTAAACTATTCTTCCTAACGTATTTGATAAAGTATGGCAAGGAACCTTACTTTACAAAATAAAACAAAACTTATCAGACTTCTTTTATGAAATGACAAAATCTTATCTGAGTATGCGAAACTTCTAAGTTAAAATAAACCTAACCCTCTATTTTTGCAGGAGTACCATAAGAAAGTATACTGTGGTCCACCCTGTACTTGCTATTTACTGTCGATCTGCTTGCAACCAAACTAATGCTTCTTCTTCTTCTTCTTCAGGTTCCGCTCCTGCTGCCAAACCATTCACGGAGATTGCGTAGCCACGAGATTTTACGTCTTCCAACGCCTCTTCTGCCGTTAATTTTATCCTGCATTATATTTCTTAGTAGTTCGTATTTTTCACCTCTCATGTTGTGCCCCAAGTATTCCAATTTCCTGATTTTTATGGGATTTAAAACTTCGCATTGTTTTCCTAGTTCTTCGAGAACTTGTTCGTATATTTTGCAATCCATCCATGATATTTTTAAAATACGTCGGTAACACCACATTTCGAATGCTTCTTGGTTTTTAATGTTCAATTTTTTAAGTGTCCAAACTTCAATCCCATACAAAAGGGTAGAGAAAATATAACGTCGAAGCATTCTTATCCGGAGCGATATATTGATATCGCGATTACAAAAAAGTTTTCTCATTCTATTAAAAATGGACCGTGCAATTTCAATGCGGCATCTTATTTCTTTTGTCTGATCCGTATCTTCTGCGATCCATGCTCCAAGGTATTTGTACGAAGATATTTGTTCAACTTCCGTATTATCTAGTACTAGCTTAACTTTAATGATTTGTGCTTTTGTAAATAATATGAATATGGTTTTCTTTAAATATATTTTTAGTCCATAATCGTTGCAATATATATTTAGTTGTTCAGCAAGGTGTGGTAGTTCTTCTAGTGTTCCTACCAGAAGGACGGTGTCGTCAGCATATCTTATGTTATTAAGTGGCTCACCGTTTATTATAATGCCCTCACTGACCTCAGCAAGCGCTAACTCTGAGATGGCTTCACTGTATAAATTGAATAACAAGGTTGATCAAATACACCCTTGGCGGACCCCAGGATGAATCTGGATATCCTCGTTCAATTCATTTTCAACTTTTACTTTTGCTGTTAGGTTCCAATAGAAGTTACAAATGATTCTAATGTTTCTACTGTCTATGTTTTTATTTAATAAAATTTCTTTAAGCCGATTATGCTGCACTCTGTAATTGCTTTCTCAAAATCAATGAAATAGGCATATACTTCCTGATTTATATCTAGGCATCTCTGCGAAAGAACACTTATTGCAAACAGTGCATCTCGTGTTCCCAGTCCTTTCCTAAATCGCATTTGTGTATTACTTATACCTTCATCTAATTTCTTATGTATCCTATTATGAATTACTTTTAAAAACAATTTTAAAACATGACTCATTAAGGCTATGGTGCGATGTTCATTGCACTCCTTTGCATTGGCTTTTTTGGGAAGCAGTATTAATGTTGATTGGAGCCATTCTTTATACCTGTTCTATATATGGTATTGAATAGATCCAAAAGAAGGTCAATAAATTCAACATTCACAATTTTGAGTAATTCGATAGGAACTTCATCAGGCCCGGGAGATTTACCACCTTTAGCTTGTTCCATCATATATTCAATTTCTTCTCGTATAATGTCAGGCCCAGTATCATCCTTAACTTCTTTTGGTGCTTCTGTTCTTTCTTTGTCTTTAAAAAGCTGTGCTATCTATTGTGTCCCATTGCATTTTTTGATTTATATCTGTTATAAGTGCACCATTTTCATCTCTTAGTTGCCTAGTTTGAAGTGTTTTAAACGTAATATTTAAAACATAAAAAGTTATATTTTTTCTCAATTTCTTCTAGTTCTTGGCACTGCTCATGTAACATTCTCTCCTTAGCTTCTTTTTTTTTTAATTAATCGATCAGTTTAATTATATTTAATTGGATTTTTTGTTTTGAACGATTTTCTTTCATTCATTAATAGTAGTATTTCTTTAGTCATCCGGTCTTTATGTGTTCTTTCCTTTTGTTTTAGTTTTCATTTGCTGTTTTAATTATTGCATTTTTCTGATCAATGTTCTGATCAATCAGCTACTTTTATTCAGTTCTTGTGCATTAAGTAGAGTTTCAGTAAGAATTTTTGGAGTTTGTTCCTTTGTTTGTGGTTTTCTTAATCTCTTAATATCAATTCTACTTTGTGTGGGCTTTTTAACCAGTTTCAATTTGGTTCGTAATGTGAATACTATGGGGTTATGGTCTGAACCGATGTCTGCTCCAGAGTAAGTTTTGGCAGACAGTATAGAATTACGAAATCTTTGTCTAATGAGGACAAACTCAATTTGATTTCGGATTATTCTATTCGTTGTATCACCGGGAGATTTGCATGTATACAATCTTCTTTTTGGTAGCTTAAAAAGTGTATCAGCTATTACAAATTCATCCGTCTGGCAAAATTGTATCAAACGGTCACCACGTTCATATCTACCAAACTAATGCTAGTTGCAACCTATGCTGATGACACTGCTATTATGGCACCACATAAGGCCTGAAGCAGCGGCTTACAAATCTCTCTCGCCAAAATCGACTGAACTGCAGTGCATTTCTCTCAGTGTAGTACATTTTTTAGAATAATTTTTTGTATATCATACATTCTTTATAATATATATATATATATATATATATATATATATATATATATATATATATATATATATATATATATATATATATATATATATGCCCAGAATTAACGCACCACATTAAATGTACCATAAGTTTGAAGCTATTTTTCTTCTGAACAAACGATTGGATTTTGATGATGTTGTTTCATATTATAGGTCTATTTCTTAATAAACCAATGTATCAATGTTTTCTAAATATTAACGTTTTACCCGTATACGGGGTGTAAAAATAAAGTTGCGTTTTTTCATCGTGGTTTACAACCCCCTGTGGAATTTATTAGAAATAAACTCTACATCTTATTAATAGTTTGAAATAGATTTTCTTAAGATTTTTGTAAAAAAATTATCTTGATATCTTTATTATCAAAGATTATACAAAACTTTAAATGTAACAAGTTTTTACCAACATTTAAAGCAAAGAAAACATTACTTACATAAACGTTATTGACATTTAATACAGGTAAAGCCTAAGAAAATATAAACTAAATAATCATTAACAATTCCCCTTTCCCAAAAACACTTAATAACAAATATTTTCACCTCTACATATAATTACTTCTTCACAGTCTTGACCAATTGCATCCCAAACTTCTATGTCGTCAAGAGAGACAGATGGTGGTTGTCGGCTCCTGGGTTGAGAGGAGATCAGGGCTGCAGGAAGGCCAGTTCATGGTTTGTATTTCAACCTCGTCCAAATATTCGCGAGAAACACGTGCAACATGTGGTCGAGCGTTATCCTGCGTTAAAAGCAAATTATTTTTTATGTAAGGAGCAAATGGAACTACATGATTAGACAAAATGTCTTTAATATACCTTTAACTTGTTAACAAACTAGTTAAGGTATCTACCAAAATGGGTCGGTTTTTGATACCAATGTATTTTATTGTTGTTGTTTTGCCTGATCATCTTTATGTCGAGAAAGGGGACGGACCAATTACCGTCTTCTCTCTCTATAGTGAACTGGATGTAGGGGTCACAGCTATTGAAAGTATCTAATAGTTCACCTACCTTATCATTGGGTATAGCCAAAATGATATCATCAACATATTTTTTAATAAATGGAATTTGAAAGGATAATAAAGGAATGACTGAGTCTAATGCATAATCCATAACGTAAGTTAGACTGATAGGAGAAATCTTTGCTCCCATAGGGGTACCGAAAGTTGGTTGATATAATTAACCATTAAATGAGAAGTAAGTGTTGTTATAGAGAAATTCGACGATGCTGACGAATCTGTTATAAGACATGGACAACCTCTAATACTATATTAGAGGTTGTTGTTCCATGATTATATTTAAGAAATTTTTTAGTTTTAGTATATGAGTTATGAAAAAAAGTATTAGATGATTTAGAAGTATTCAAAATGTGATTAGTGATAGTGTTGGTAGTTTTTGACCAGATTAAGTTTTGCTCTAATTCAGATGGCAATGCTGAATTTTGCTATCGCTTTATTAAATTAAATGGCCAAATATATGGCCTGGGAGGACAAATTCTTTAAACTTCCCGTGTTCAAATCGGTATTAATAAAATGTTATACACCGTAGTTAGCTTACAAAGGCGCCACCTGCTTTGGCGGCCGTGAACAAAACGATATGATAATATCGTTTTCTGTATCCTTTGCAATATGCGAAATATGTTAGAGATTAAATCTTTTAGCGAAAGCCGTTATCACTTTATTGAATTAAATTGCCAAATAATAGGCCTAATAATAATATGGCCTAGGAGAACAAATTCGTTAAACTTTCCGTGCTCAAGCCAGTATCAATAAAGTTTTATGATCATTTCGGCCTATCCCAGCCTCATCAGACACTTAAGCTGATACAAATTCAAACTCGGAAAGTCCAACCAATGTCCCCCAAAACTTCACTACACCGCAGTTAGCTTACAAGTGAACGAAACGATATGATAATATTGTTTTCTGTATACTTTGCGCTATGCGAAATGTGTCAAAGATTAAATCTTTTAGCGAAAGCCGCTATCGCTTTATTGAATTAAATGGCCAAATATATGGCCTATGAGGACAAATTCGTTAAACTTCCCGTGCTCAAATCGGTATCAATAAAGTGTTATGATCATTTCGGCCTATCCCAGCCTCATCAGATACTTGGGCTGATACAAATTCAAACTCAGAAAGTCCAACGAATGTCCCCCAAAACTTCACTACACCGTAGTTAGCTTACAAAGGCGCCACTTGCTTTGGCGGCATATATATATATATATATATATATATATATATATATATATATATATATATATATATATATATATATATATATATATAGGTATATATGTGTATATATATATATCCCCTTTTAATTTCGAAAAAATATTCGAACTTCTCAATTCCACATAATACAAAGGGTTCCCACCACCTATAAACAATTAAATCCATTATAAATAAGTCCAATCCACCCTACCTCCAGACATAAAAAAACATCTTATACACATGAAAGAATATATGGCCTGCCAAAAATCCATAAGCCCAATGTCCCCGTAAGACCCATCATCAGTGCGTACAACTGCCCCACTTCGAAATTGCCTAAACATCTCGCCTTATCCTCACAACCGTTAGCCGAAAACGCCACGTCCCTTGTCAAAAATTATTTCCTTTTCATTGGTCTTCTGAAAAACAATTATATTTCACCCTCAGACATACTAGTTAGTTTTAACATTGTTCCTTTTTTCGCCAACATTGTTATTGATGGAACAATTTCCATCTTGGATCCTAACAAAAGATCCTCCGTGCCTGCGCTCCTGTGACTACGGTGTACATACTTTCAAGAGCCCGATTTCATGATACAATATTTAATGGAGCTCCCTTGAGAAGCCTGGGTTTGGCTAATTCGCCAAGTTCTGAAAGGATGACCAAAAAACTGTTTCTTAAGGTTCTTAATCAAACTAATCGTTATACACAGTGTTCTTCTGATTCCTCAATTTTTATATTGATGGACAATCACGACACTCATTATTCTTTTGAATCCATAATGTTTTTACGTGAAAACGGTATAGTATTAGTTACTTTTCCACCCCACACCTCACATCGCCTTCAGCCGCTAGATGTAGCGGTTTATTCCTCGTTAAATCAAAACTTGCCTTCTTGTATTTTCGATCGACGATTTTGACTGTGCTTTTGTTACTGACCGGCCATCACCAGGAAATAATGTAAACAACTCAACAGAAGCTGTTCTATCTACATCAACCTCAGTAGAACCTGAAATTGAAATTGTTCCATCTACATTAACCCCAATAACACCTGAAATTGTACGACCTTTACCAAAGGCTGCCCGAGAAAAAATATTAGAGCACGAAAAAAGGTTAAATCTAGAGTTTTAACGGAAATACCAGAAAAAAAAACAAAATTAAAGAAGAAATTCTAGCAAGAGAACAAAAACAACAGAAGTTGCAAGCAAATAAGATGAAAATAAACATTTGGAAGACTTCTCCTACTACTAAGAAGAATGCGGAGTTACCACAGAGTAAAACTTCGGAAGACATCGTTTATGCCAGTTCTGATGAATCGAGGACTTCATAGAAATTGTCAAATATGAACAAAATGACTATATTTTAATGAATTTTTGTTACAAAAAAGCTGTGGATTCAGAGTTTGAAGTTAAATTTTTTAACAGAATTAAGGGTTAAAGAACAAGTTCAACTTTTCACTTTCCAGAAACGGAGGATGTTACGATAGTCCCCATTGAAGATGTAGTTTTAAAATTACATTCTATAAACAACTCAAATTATAACACTTGCAGAACGCAATCATTTATTTCTTTTTCAAATTTGGTGGATAATTACAATGTAAATTAAATATTATTTTTCTTATGATATGTAAAGTTAATTTTTTTGGATGTTCAGATAATTTCTTGGTAAGTTTGATAGACAATATTACATTATTAGATATGCTAATGTTGTTTGCGGTACCTAAAATAAATAATTTTAGGCAGTAGTAGAAGTAAGTCATAATACACTTAAAAATAGAAAACGTTTAAAAGTGCCCCCTCCACCCCTTTTCCTTTTTTAACTTACATAAAATGCTTACCAGTTAATCTCCAATTAAAATTTCTTTCGCAAATACCACTAATATTAGACTTCTTTGTGCCATGAAATAACCTTTTTTCTTTATATCTTCTTCCCCTTTTTTCATATTCCAGCTTTCTTAAATCATATTGCAGTAATAAGTATGGATTATGTACCTTCTGAATGCTATGTATTCTATTTATATTGTTGCCAACAAACTCTTCTTTGATTCTGTTAAATTCATTTGAATGTTCATTTACAGTCTCTAATTTATAAACATTTTCATCATCAAAATTTTTATCATATTGCAGCTGGTCATATGGATTATACTTCCTCTCAATGCTAAGTACTATATTATTTATATTGTTGCTGAAGGACACCTGTTTGATTCTATTAAATTCATTTGAACGTGCATTTCCAGTCTCTAACTTGTAAACATTTTGGTAGTCTTTGAACTCTTTGAAAAATGCATTTTGGATGTTACTACCAACTTTTACAGTTGGGACGTAAGCTGCTATATTGTCATTTTTTATTGTATTAAGTTGGTTCGCCAAATTTATATTTATTTCGTTTGAATGTTCATTTACAGTCTCTAATTTGTAAACATTTTTATAGTCAAACTCTTTAAAAAATGCATTTTTGATGTTACTGCCGACTTTTACAGTTGGAACGTAAGTTGTTATATTGTCATTTTTTGTTGTATTAAGTTCGTTCGTCAAATTTATATTTAATTCTCTTTTTACAATGAATGTAAAATTGTTTTTTGAATTACCAACATCTTCGAAATGAATGAAATCATGCCTATTACAAATATCACAGGGTAAGTTAACTGTCTCTGGAAAAAGTTTTTCGAACAAAGTTTTAGAAAAACAGCCACACAGATTCCTTTTAATTTTCTTTGCCTACAAAATAAGACATTTTTAGTAAATATAGTTGAAAAAAGTGTTCGAATACTATAAAACAAAAGAAAAATAAGATAGGCTAGAGAGTTAAATTTATCTAAATATTCGGTTATCCAAATCAAGTTTTGCCTATATTAATTTGAACAATCTATGCTTACTAACGTATGGTCCTAAAGTTTTGGGAAAAATTTCACCTGGTCTGATTGAGAAGCAAAATGCATTTAACAGAGAAGGCCATGGAATTGAAATGTCATCAGTTATTGACATTTAATAAACAAAGCAGAATATTTTGGTTTGTGCTTTGCAAAATGTCATAAAATTGATATTTGTCGAGGTGTTTATAATATGGTTGGGTGAATGTCGAAACGAGATATTGTTAATATTTATCGAGATCAAAACATAAGCAAATCGATAATTTGTCGCACAATCAGAGAATGTGAAGAAGGGACACCATGTGTTAACTTGCGTAAAAGTGGCCGACCGTGGATTTTGAACCATATAAGAGAGGCAAGACTGATTGAAGTAGCTAAGAACAAAATTGGGGTCTCACAGCGAAAATTGGACAGAAGATTTAAAGTTGGAAAGACTACAGTTTACAGGACCCTATCGAGTAACAATATTATCTACCGGAAAAGAAGGAAAGCTCCAAAATACACAGAGAATCAATTAGAGAGAATTCCGAGATGTTGCCGCGCGTTAAGGCGAGTGCATTTTGTCAACAAGTTGATCATGATGGACGATAAAAAATATTTTGTTCTTAGCTTCTTCAACCAGTCTTGCCTCTCTTATATGGTTCAAAATCCGCGGTCGGCCACTTTTACGCAAGTTAACACATGGTATCCCTTCTTCATATTCTCTGATTGTGAGATAAATTTGCTTGTCTCTGATTGTCGATTCGTTTCGACATTCGCCCAACCATATTATAAACATCTCGACGATTATCAATTTTATAAGACATTTTGCAGAGCACAAACCAAAATATTCTGCTTTGTTTATTAAATGTCAATAACTAGTGACATTTTAATTCCATGGCCTTCTTTGTTAAATGCATTTTGCTTCTCAATCAGACCAGGTGAAATTTTTCCCAAAACTTTAGGACCATACGTTAAACATTAAATTATATTGACGTAAACATTTTTTACATTAAAGATTTAAGACCAGTAATACTAATTGAAACTCATAATACAAAAACTAAAAAACCAAGCGCGTTTACAATCAAGTGAGATTTTTTCAACATACACTGAGCTTGTAAAAACAAAGATGACAAAATATATCCAAAGAAACTGCCACACTTATGCATTTAAAAATCTGGAAGAATACACAGTCCGATGTTTCTGTTGTACCTCAGCAACTAAGGAAGTATTTTTCATAACCTAACATGTCTATGTTAGGTATTTTTTCAAGAAACCAGAAAAATCGATTTATTTATATTCTTCTACCTCTTTATAAGAAATTCTGCTTGTTCATTGGCGGATTAATACCTCTATGGAAGGTTGTCACTCCATCTTTTGCGCGGTCTTCCGATTATTCTGCGGATTGCTGGCTTATCTCTTGCTATTTTGACGACACGGGTCTCCTCCATTCTGATTGTGTGGTAATTCCACTCTTTTTTTTTTCTATTTTGTGTCCATTCATTTATACACTGCACGTTACATTTTCTTCTAATGTCTTAACTTCTCTTTCGATCTCTTAGTGTATTTCCTGTAATTCTTCTCAGTACTCTCATCTCTGCCGTTTCCAGTAGCCTTTGCATTTAGGCTGTGTCAAGTCTTGTTTCTGACGCATATGTCATTATTGGTCTTACATTGGCTTTATAAATTCTTGATTTCATCTCAGTGTTAATGTGTCTGTTTCGCAGTCTATTTGCTTTTTGTACTTGATCTCTCACTTCTTTGTTCAGGTCTCCATAGCTAGACAGTGTAATTTCTAGGTATTTTATTTCCATTATTTGTTTAATACTGATGTCATCAATTTCTATTGTAACATTTTTTTTATAGTAAATATATTAAATTATTTCTAATCCCTTTATCCCTGTTGCTGATACGCTCATGGTCGTGTTTACGATTAGAAAATTTTATTGTAATCTACCGACTACCTAAAAATACGGAAGAATCTACCTACTTATTTAAAGACGCCGGTTGGGTTAATTCTTAGTTATTCTCGTTACTTAACCTCGTCACGTTATAGTAATTTTCCTGAAAAGAACGTAATTCAGAAGATTTTATTTTCCTTACGTCCAGTTACTAGTACCGTATTTACCTAGAACTTTCCGATAGTCGTTAGAACTTTACCTTCTTAGAAATGGATACAGGAGGACTTGTCGTTTTTGAGTGGGAGATATCCCACCTTTCTTGGGTAGTTTGACAAATTTTTAGAAGAACCAACTCACATCTGGCGGGACAGTCTTGGCGTAAGGACGTCCTCCATATCTTACCGTGTCTGTTCTCTGTGAATTTTTCCAAGTGTATATACACTTATATAATTAAGTTTTTCTTTTATCTAATATCATATTAGATTAAATATTGGTATAAATTACCGTTTAATTTAAATAACTACAGTGCTTGATACAACTATAGTATATAGCCTCAGTGCAGTGTAGCAGTCGTCGAGAATTAGTGTAAGTTATCATAATCATAGTATCTTCAAATATGTGGGTGAATAATATGGTATGGTATCATATTATCTTTAATTATCTGGGCGAATCGAAGTTCATCCATTTCTTTACCTGTAGTTAAGAAGAACTACCAATTTAACTATTGAATTTAGGGAACATTTAATAATTTAATATGAACTTTTAATCAGTTTTTAAGATCTTCTAAATTACGAACATTTAATTCTCAGTTAATCATTAAATAACAGTGCGAACAGATAATGAACTTAACCAAGTGCGGTTTGGTTAAATTTTTATTTCTGTAATCTTTTTGTATCGTTTGAATTTAACTTTAATTAACTTTGTGGTATTTGTTATTCATTTTTTTTTATTTATTGTATTATCTCGAGATACGCCCATAAAACTTTATTTGTGCATGATTGTATTATATTGTATTTGTAAAAGTATTTCCTAATTATAATACTGTTTATTTCTAGATGTATAAAACCATTGATCAATTCATGGTGCATTTTTCATTACTTGTGTGTACATTCAGCTGCCTATACCATTGTGGTGTTGAATATATTCCTTTTGTTTTATGTATGAATTTTATTTCTCGACTCCTAACAAGTTCCCTGATATAACAATAACTCTAAATATTTGCTTATTATATTAAATTATTATTATATCTTCGACCAGAAGAAAGATTAGGCTGATTAAGTTTTGTAGCTAAGTAGGTAATATATTTATTATTTGTTTATATAATATGTTGACCAAATTTATTTAATTATTAACTGTTAATATCTTTTCTTGGGTTTGATCTCTGTGCCTAAATATCTTTCATTATCTCTTTTCTTGTATAAGGTTTCTTAATTTTCTCCTTAAACCCCAAAAAGTTAAGTTGCATCGATAGCATAGATAGTTACCCATCTATCTTTTTGTTTATTTCTGTATCTTTTCTCATATATCTTATCTTGTAGTATCTTTACTTATTTCGTCCCTTGGATCCATTCCCGGTTCCAAAAGCGAGTTTCGAACCCACGACTCGCTCTCCACCAACCATCTGGCTGCCGTCCGCAGTGTCTCCTTTGGTGACCTTTCTAGCACCATCCAAAAAAATTTTCCGAGGTTACACTATTTTACATCTGGTTGGTTCTTTGCTGACTACTATTGTTTTTGTTTTCTGAGATGAGATTTTCATATTAAATTCTTTTGCTCTTATGGTAAATCTGGGAACCAGTTTTTGCAGACTATCTTCATCTTGGGCTATTAATATTGCGTCGTCTACGTAACAGAGTATTTTAATTTCTTTGTCTCCCATTCTGTATCCTCTTCCTTTGTTAACGCTTTTGATGATTTTATCCATGATCAAATTGAAGAGAATGGGACTCAATGAATCCCCTTGTCTTATTCCGCTGCCTATTTGTATAGGTTCTGTAAGTTGTCCATCTATTTTGACTTCCATTTTGTTGTTTTGGTAGATTTTAACGATAGTTTTTATAATATTTAGTGTAGTTTCTCTATTATACAGAAGATGGAATACATCTTTGAGTCTTACTCTGTCAAACTTTTTCTTTAGGTCAATCAGACACAGAAATGCTGGTCTATTAAACTATAGTGATTTCTCAGTAATTTGCTTTATAACGAATATTACATCTGTACACGATCTTCCACTACGAAAACCCTGTTGTTCATCTGCTAAACTTAGCCTCTGATTTATTAGCACTTGTAAAATTTTAGTTGTAGGTTTTAGCGTAGTATTTAAGAAGTTTATACCTCTGTAGTTTTCAGGCTATTTTTTATCTCCTTTTTTGAATAGTATGATTAGTTCGCTCGTTCTCCATTCTTCCGGTATTTTATTGTGTTTTATAATTTTATTAGTTAATGTTGTTAATTGTTCTGTCATTGCTGCTCCACAATATTTCAGTAACTTGTTGGGTATCCCATCTTCACCTACTGCTTTCTGTTCTTTAGGCTTTCAAGTATTTTCCGAACTTCCTTTACATTTATATTAAGTTCTTAATTTGTGGTAATTTCTAGTGTTTTGGTTCTAGCGTCGTTTGGTATTCCTCTGCATATAGCTTTTTTAGGTAGTCAATCCTCGTATCCTTTTCTATGTATTTTGGTTCTATTAGTTCCTTTACCTCCATTCGTTGACCTCTTAAAAGCGCCATATTTCTTTTGTTCCATTTATTTGTTCCATAAAATCATGTTCAATTTCTTTCGAAAAGCCTTTCCAGTAATAATTTTTTACGTTTCTAATTATCTTGTAATTATGGTATGCCTCTTGTGTTTTGGTTAATATGTATTTCAGGTAAGTTTTTTTCTTTTCTTTACATTTTTCCTTCACTTCTGTACAAAACCATGGAGTTCTTCGCCTTGCTAACGATTTATTTTTATTTATATTTCT